AAACTCATACAGGATAAACAAAACACTACATCATGTGATTACACTTCTTAAGCATATAAGTATGAACTGTATATTTGATCCAACTGCAGGCTTCTTGCACACTTCTCTTCTCTTTGTTATATAGGATCTCAATCCTGCATCTCTAAATAGCATAGATCCCAGCAGCATAGACGGCAGTGATCTCCTTCCTCTTCTTTGGATTGATTTTCAACAATTTATTCTCCATTCCCTCCATTGAGTTGGCTGTAAAATATGCCCTTACCCAGTTGGCCAGATTGCATCTTCCATTGCATGGCTACAGAAGGTACAAGTGGTGTCAATATGAAAGGAATTTACTCAGTCTTTGTTTGGTTTGTAACCTCCCTCTACATAGCAGCCAAAAGATGAATCTATGCTTAGGGACTGTCCATCCATTCCAGACCAGCTCACTCTACTTACATTTAGGTCCATCTCCCCTAATCCATCTATAACCACCTCTCACTGTATACTCAGCATCAGAGTTCATATTCTGAAAATTATTTCTAATCTGTAGGAGCTTCTTCCAGTAAAAGCAATGTGTGGATTTGTAAGTGCAATCCCATGCATTCCCCTGTTTAATGTAATGACTGTCGTGCACCCATCTAACCCAAAGAATGTCCTTTTTCTTATCCACGTCCCACATCAAGCTCATGATAGAAGCTTTATTCCAGATATGTTTTTAAGCCCTAACCCACCTCTGTTCTTAGAATGTTTAGAATGATTTCTTCCTGAGAGTTAATACCTCCTACAGCCACTTGAGATTTATCAAAATTAATCTGGAGACCAGTGGTATATCCTTGAAGTGTTCAAGCGCCTTCATAATAATACCCACAGAATCTGCTTCAGCTTTGCAAACAATGATAAGATCACCTGCAAAAACTAGATTTATGATATTCAAGCTTTCACACATGATGGAATTTGAACTTATTTATATCAGCATAAATAGTTCTAGTAAAATATTCCATTATCAGGAGAAATAGAAGAGAGGGAATTGGATCTCCTTTCCTTAATCCCTTACCCCCTTCAAGTATCTAAAAACCTCCCCATCTAGATGCACAGAATAAGCTGACTTTGTCACACAGTAAGAAATCCACCTAATAAACAAGGAGGGAAACTTCAAGCAATGTAGCAGCTGAAACGGACCTTTCCAGATTATAGAGTCATAGGCTTTTTTAGGTCAATCTTCATCATGCACCTCGGAGAAATTCCTTTTCTCATGTAGCCTCTGGATAGTTCTTGACATAACAGAACATTGTGGACTAAAGTTTTCCTCTCTACGAAAGCCCCCTGGTTTATATTAACAATCTCACGCAATATCTTCTTGATTCTTTCACACAAGATCTTTGAAATGGTTTTGTACACCACGTGACAACAAGAGATTGGTCGAAATTCAACAAGTGATTTAGGCTCCTCCACTTTGGGTATTACAGTGATATTAGTGGCATTTACTTGTTTTAGAGTGTCAGCATTCTTTAAGAATTCCAGCACAACATTGGTATACAAACACCCAACCTTATCCCATTGTTTTTTGAAGAGCCCACTACTAAAGCCATCTGGGCCTGGGCTTTTAGAATTAGGGATATTAAAAAGGTTTTTTCTAACTTAATCAGCTGTAATAGGAGATATGAGTGAGAGTTGTTGACTAACTGTAAGACTCTTACCCTTTCTGACAATACCTTCTTCTATCTTTTCTGTCCAGTTGGTTTTCCCCAAATTCTCTTGAAAGAATTCAACAAAAACTTTAGGAATCTCATCTTTGATAGTTTGTAAGGCGTCGCCTAGGCGATAAGGTGCTGTCCCTTGGACGCCTAGTCTGCTCGCCTTGCCCAGAAAACCTTCAGGTGTTCGGGCGCTCGCCTAGGCATCACTTTACTTCGCCTTATGTCACCTTACGTCGCCTTACTCGCCTTGACGCCAGGGCCCCTTTAAAGTTTTGAAAAGCCCTATTTTTCAGTGCAGCCCAATTATTTTGAAAGCCTAATTTAAAATGTTTAAAAAGATTTGACTTAAACTTGTGACCTACGATATTATATATATATATATATATATATATATATATATATAAATACATACATACATACATACATACACACACACACACACATATATATATATATGTAGTCCCATAGGCTCTTCCTTTTCGTAATCTCATTATGTGCATAAACAAAAATCAAGTAAAAGAACTCTTGCTCTCCCAGCTTCCTACATTTACAATGCACCAGTTGATCTGTAACTTCCTCAATTTGGAGCATAACCTTGTCATTTCTCCAGACTACCCAGATTCTTCCAAGATTATGTTCCTGATGATTGATATAAGAGCCCCATCCTCTGAAGATCCTATTCTCAATATCCTTAAACTTATCAAATTCAATTTTTGTTTCTAACATACCAAATACATAAATATCGTACTTATTAACAAAATGACTAATTTCATTTTGTTTATTGGGGCTGTTCAAGCCCCTTATATTCCAGCTACTGATCATTTAAGAAATGGGTAATGGCCATTATCGGGAGCATCCACCAAATCTTTATTAATAATCCATTCACTGCCATCTTCATTATCACCCACCTTTAACTTTCTTGCAGTCTTTCTTCTACTAACTATTGGATATTCCAACTGATCATCCTCTAGTTTTTCCTTATCAGTGAGTCAGTGACCTCCACAGTCTTCTGCTTCTGTTCATATTTTGCATCCTTATTTATTAGTGTCTTCTTTCTGTAGAACTGTTTAGGAATCCAGTTTTTCTTATCTGGGTTGGTCTTCTCATTCTTCCTGCAGTTCTCTTGTCCTTGACCAATCTTTCCACAATGGGTACAGTATATTGGGTACCATTCATAATCCACCCTTTGAGTAATAACTCTTTTCTCTTCATCCACAAAAGTTAGTTTAGAAAGAAATTCCTGATGCACTTTAACTGTAGCCTTATCCCTGTTAACTGGTTTACTATAAGGCTTCCCAATCTGCTTAAGCCAGAGAGGCTTCAGTATTTCATTTCTAAGTTTGGAATCTGAATCCAAATAGGGATATCTTGTAGATCATTCACATCAACTTTCACCCCTGGTTTCTGTTTTTGGACCAACACGGGTTCTGAGTCAAAATGATAGTACTTCCTTTTGATTACTTCATCTCTGTCCTTTTCTTCATGAAAATTAACAACAAACTGTCCCTTCTTTGAAAACACAATCTCAACTATGGGATATGCCTTTCAGATACGAGCTAGAAACCCTTTCATCACCTCAACAGGATGATTTGCTCCCAGCACGCAACATATCAGGGAAGCATTCTAATAATCCGTGAATTCAATAACATCAGGTTTAGAAAACACAGCAACTTTATTTCCATCAATCGCCTCAGCTTCTATGTAGCTCAAATCTAGCACTAAGAGCTTGTTCTCTTCAATTTATTCTTTTTACTTTTTACTTATTTTTATTGGAATCAGATCAGATCATAACAACTTTTAATTTAACTACAATGAGACCAGATTAGAACTTAATTGAATCAGATCAGAAACAATCACATAAGTTGAAGAGAACAAGCCCTAAATTATCAGAATTCACCAACAATTTCTGTATATGATTTTGGGTTATCCACAAATGGGTTATCAGTTACCTTTTGTGCAATTGATTCCTCGCCCTTCGACGTACTGCCCTAGTGCCCTGTTCAGATCTGGATTCCGATGCAATAGGCGTGTTCTGAAGAGCTTCCGGTTTTGATCCCTCCTTTCTAACCGCCTCGGTGTTTTGCTCTTCTTCTCAATGTCCTTATTCTCAGCGTTCTCAGATGTGAACTATCCTTCGGCCTTCCTCTCTTTTTCGCCATGGATGAGAGAGAGAAAACCTGTTCCGTCTTGACTTTCTAGGTTAATGATTGCTTTTTCAATAATCCGATTATGGGATTTTACTATGTTGGTTGTTGTATTCCATATTTACTTAAGCATTCTCATTTTATGTAATTCTTCCCATTAATTTTCTTTTTTCATTGTTTCAGAAGACACCTTGAAGGGACAAGAATCGCACTAGTAAAATCGTATAGATCTCTCTTTATCTCTTTAGTTCGTCCATATTTCATTTGCATTTATTCATGATTTTCATTTTCAGGGGTAAAATTGGATATGATTTCTCAATAAGTACGCCATGCACACCTGCGAGGTGGGATGCATTTGACATGGAAATGACATCAGCATGGGAGGTATATCTATCTAGATGTCATGCTTTATCTGATCATTTTTTCTTTTGTACTCAAGTTCTTGGATGGGTTCTATGGATATTGTGGACAATTAGAGCTGCAAAAAATGTCAATTTGCTAATTGTTTATCTATTAAACATATGCAAACAAGCTAAATTGGCATTTATTGTTCACATCAGAATGCCAATCATGTAAGTGTGTTCTACATAAGTCAACCCCCTTCCCCCGATGCATTGGTAAATCCCTAATATTGTATACACTCAAAAGCATTTGAAGTATATTTTCCTGTTATAATATCATGGCTTGCAACTTTTCCTCGTATATCTAAGCCTAGGAGTCAACACCTTTTCCATTTTAGTTTTAAAATTCCTCATTCACATACTTGCATTGTCCTAAAAATTCCTGCATAATCTGTGCCTTGGTGCCATACTTCCACTGGCCACCTATGTTGCTTTTTCAAATTGACCTTGCTCGTTTAGATATTAGGCTCGTCTCTAAAGTTTATAATCCCTATATCCCATTCAGATTCTCACTTTTGATTTGTTGGTTAAAATTGTTAAACTTTGACTGATGTTTTGTGTTGGTATATTTTTGCAAAAGATATAAATTTTGTACTTTATGAAAACTTTACTATTTTATGTCGCTTCATTCTTGTACACACATTTATTAGAGGTCAAAATTTAATTTATTTGACCAAAAAAAATCAAAAGTGGAAAGTATTAATGGGGCAGGAGTAAGCATTTTAGAGAAACCACATTCATTTGGAGGTATTAAAGGGATATTAAATTGGATCCTATTGCAATATCTCTTTCCACATTCATATATCCATCTAATGACTATTTTGTTGGTCCCATTTGGGATACTGTCCTCACCAATACCGCGTTGTGGGATAATATCTCCTCTTCGTGGGTCCCACCATTCATTAGTATGTGTGAGATAAACTCCATTTTCCCATGCCCACATTTCTTCCGCATCCCATCTCGGCATCTACATTAGTTAGAGATATTACTTAGTGATATCAGAAGTGATATAGCAGGAAGAATTTAGGTGAGGATGGGGAGGAATAGCCGATATGGATGCTCTTAGAGTATTGATGTTAGACATTGGGTGAATGACATGAATGAAATTTACAGTGTCATCTAACTCTACAATTATTTAATGCTATAAATTCATACAAAGTGATATCTAGACACTAATATGGACGTTGGATATGCAGGCACTCTGTGACGCTTACACTGGGGAGGCATATGGCTCAAGTGACTTTGATGTGCTAGAAAATGTCAGAGATGCAATACTGAGAATTACATTCTACTGGTAAAAAGAAAAAAAACATTTGGCCTGGACTGGACTTCTTTTCCAAGTCAGTTTTGAAACATACATTGTAATATCGAACGTAAAATCCTAACCTCTAATTGCGTTATCAGGTATAATTTCATGCCACTTTCAAGAGGATCTGCAGTGGTTGGGTTTGTGGTCCTGCTCGGGCTTCTCCTCGCAGCCAACATGGAGTTCACCGGGAGCATCCCGGAAGGCGTCCAATTAGACTGGGAAGCCATCCTGGAGCCCGACCCGGTTGCATTTGTAACCTCTGTGAAGAGATGGCTGTACTCATCCCTCAAGGTGACCACATCCTGGAAAGGCTATGCTGACGTGTCTTCGAACTTTGAGACGACCGGATCCGTGGTTGCTGCTCTCAGCTCCTTTTCAGACATGGCTCAGTAATAGCTTTGAGCCCTTTTCTTATCTTTTTTAAATCGGTCAAAGCATACGAACACACACATAATAGAGTGGTAGTTGGGGGTGGGGTCAAATGTCTCGTGAGGCTAACACTTTGTTTTCTTCCACTTATTACTTATTCTTATTAGAGTTCAGTTCAAATAACAAAAAACTTTAAATATAATTACAATTGTATTAGAGTCAATCAGATCACATGAAAACAAGCTCTTAGGGGCATTTGTTAAGCCAAAATACTTGACAAGAAGACTGAACCCAGAATTGAATAGGTCTACCAATATGTGTTCTTTGTTTGGATGGAGTATACACGTAACCTTAGAATGTTTAATACTCCATCCGTCTGGAAAAGAAGTTTACGTTTTGACTTTTAGTCATTTTTATTGATAGTTGACTATGGAGTCAATTTGTCCAAAATACCCTCCCACTTCTAGCTTCACCACAGTGCCAATTTTGGCAACCCCCATTGTCGGCTTGCCTGCCGCTAGACCCCGTCAGCCCCCGACTCCGGCAGCCTCCCTTCGCGGCCATCCCTCACTGCCATCCCTCACCACAATCATTAGCCTACCGTCGCGCTTGCCCCCCTTCATTGCCTCCATCGCCCATCACAACCACCATCCTTACCACCACTGCCAATCCTCCATCTCCGCCAGCACTATGTCACCGCCAGTCCCCATCCCCGCTATCACCTTAATAGCCGCCATCTGTCATCTCTACAATTGTAGATCTCTTTAGATCTCGAAGAAAGAAAGAGGAGGAGGGAGATGGAGGATGCGAAAGAAGAAGTGAGATTTACACAAAGAGAAAAGAGAAAAGAAAAGTAAAAAAGAGTTGCGTTTGGGAGGAGAAGCAAGAAAATGAAAAGAGAGAAGAAGCTAAAGAGAAAGAATGGGGATAATGAGAGAAAAGAGTGGCGGAGAAGAGAAGGGAGAAATAAGGAAAAAGTAAAGGAAAAAAGAAGAGAGGGATATTTTTGGAAGATTGTGGATTAAAATTAGAAATGTAAACTTTATTTCCGGACGGAGAAAAAAGAGAAACGTAAATTTTTTTTCCGGAAGGAGTAACTCCTAGTTTTACCCATTTCGCGCTAATAATTTTATGCTTCTTATTTTCTCATCAAAATCGTGGCCTCTTTGGTGTCAATGCTAATAGTCCCTACTCACGAGTAGCGAGTTTAGCATTGACAAATTTTGGTTTTTTTTACGAGAAATACAAACCTTGAGATTATTAGGAGAGAAAAGCGAGACTAATTAGTGTTATTAGCATCGATATTTCTTTCTTTTCTTGAAACATGGCTTGTTCTCAAGTTTGTTGATTTGCAAAGAAACTGAGAAAGTGTTCTGTTGATTTGCCAGAGTTGCCACGACAGGCAACCACGAAAAAAGAGTTCCTGCTTTTTAAATGAAAGCCGAACTAAAATCAAATCGATTGCGAAAAGACCAAATTGATCTCGTTCTAAATAATACTCCTTTCGTTCCTATAAAGATTTTTTTTTTCATTTGACTTTCACAAAATTTTAAAAAGTGTTGAAATTTGAAAGAGGAATAATTATAAATTATAATTTGATGAGGGAGAGAGCATATATCGTGCATTTGGATGTGCGATATTTTTTGCACATCCGGTGAATATTCATTTAAGAGTAATGAAATGTTTATTTCATATATTTTTTACTTTAGCATTTGTCAAATACTCGTTTATGAGTACTTAATACTCATTTCACAACATCATAAAAATATATGTATGGACATTTGAGAGCCACACATTTGAGAGTAAGATAATACTCCATCCGTTCCTCTAGGTCCTTGGGGTTAAATTTATTCACTTTATTCATCTATATTTTTTGATTATTTGAGAAAATAAAATAATTTTGTCATCATTTATTTTGTAGATCTTTTGATGTACTTTTTAAATTTATAATTTTTAATTTTAAATTCCACATCAATTTTAATATAAAATGAATTAAAAATAACTTTAGTCAAGACCCGAACAAGGAAGAACCTAGAGGGACCGAGGGAGCACTCATTTACATGGGTATAAAATACTCAACTGTCTAAATTCATCATCTCTTCATCCAACGACCATAGGAGCTACCGAAAGAAGAGGGAGGTATACCATCACCTCTGTTGTAATCGATCATCGCTAAGCTCTTGGAAGACCGTATTGTCGCTGTCGTCGCTAATCATCACGCCTCTGTGTCAGAACTATGTGAATCTAAAAAGAAGAGATATCGCAACTCCCTCCAATTTATACAAATCAATACTCTCTCCGTCCCACAATGGTTGTCACTATTACTATACTATTAATTAGGACCTCGAGATAATTTTTGTTTGTATATTTTCATTGATTGTTTGAAAAAATAAAATATTCTTGTCATATTTTTTGTAGAATTTTTGATGTACCTTTGAACAGTATAATTTGTAGTTTTTATTTTTCTATCAATTAGTAATTAAAATATTTTTAAAATGATGAATTTTGTATGTTGTTCTATGAGTGACAAAGATTATAGGACGTAGGGAGTAACATGTTTGTTATTGGTTGTATCTAGATGTACAACTTGAGAATGTCCCAAAATGATTTATACTATTCGAATGACATGTAGAATCTCGTAATTTATAAAATCATTTTAGTTATAAATTAATAACACAATAAATAATACTCCGTAAAAGATATTTTAATTTAAAATTTACAAAAGACAAGTTTTTGAAGTTTGTGAACTATTTGTTTGTGACTCTAGCATTTTTCTAAAAAGTATTCCGTATAATTATATATTTAAAAAATTAAAAATTATTTATTAGAAAAAGTGAAGGTAACATTTTATTTTAACAAGTAATTTAAAAAAAAGGACCATGCTACACACCCCCACCATTGCTACCAACATTGCCTCCACCCACTACTCCACCACATATTTATCTTTACCCATTTTTCACTCACCCTCTAATTTTAATTTTCTTGCCTCCCTACCACATGTTTATGTAAGGGGGCATGAGTGGTAGCAAGGGTGGGGGTTTTTAGCATTTTCCTTAAAAAAATACGAGTAGCAATATACAAACGTGATTCACGAGTATAACTTGGGGATGAGGGAAAAGTAAAAAGAGCAATGCTAGGGGTACACCAAAAGTGTACCCCATTTGTCCCCCACCCCCTTCTCCACCACTCATTTTTATCTACTTTTTATTTATTTATTTTTTTTTAAAATTTTTGCCCATTTTTGTGGTAATGGAGGGGGTGGGGGACAAATGGGGTACACCTTTGGTGTACCTAGCATTTTTCAAGTAAAAAACAAAAACAAAAATGCTAGGGGTACACCATTTGGGGTACTCCATTTGTACCCCTCCATCTCCACCACACAAAGCAAGAGAGAGAAAAAAAAAGGACAATGCTAGGGGTACACCAACATGGAGTACCCCAAGTGTACACCAAGCCAACACAGACACACACAGACACAAAATGTCCGTGCAACACAGACACTTTATGTCTGTGTGTGTCTGTGTTGGCTTTGGTATACACTTGGGATACCCCATGTTGGTGTACCCCTAGCTTAATTCAAAAAAAAATTTAAAATAAAAAAATAAATGAAGGGCTAGGATGCATAGTGTACAAATTAGGGTACCCAAAAATCCACAAAATTCTCCAAGTACCCGTCCGTCCTATCTCTCTCATGTATACAGCAAATTCCTGGTGCCCGTATATACACGCCTCGGCCTCTGCCGCCCCCTCCCTTGATGAAGCGTTGAAACTTGAGAAACGCCAAAGCAGCATGGGTGGCGGCAACGCTCAGAAATCCAAGACGGCCCGCGAGAGAAATCTCGAAAAGAACAAGGCCGCTAAAGGTTTTCCGTTTTTTTTAAATTTTGTTTTTTTTTGTTTTTGTTTTTGTTGAATAGGAATTTGCTCTCCTGTTTCTTTTCCCCCAAACTGTGCTTTTGATCTGCTTGCAAAGTGTAATTCTACCGTTTATTGGGAATTTTATTTGCCGCTTGTGAATTTCTGATTGAGCTTCCATTTCATGTTAGTTTTCCGTTGAATTGACTTGCTAAATGATCTGATCTGCACAGGAAGCCAGTTGCAATCAAACAAGAAGGCCATGACTATCCAGGTATTTATATGTTAATAAGTATTTCATTTGATTGTGATATTTTCATTTCTTGTCTTGTTGGAACCTATAGCTTTATGTAATTGTTTAGGGTAGTGTTTGGAACTAGCATTTCATTTCAATTCATGCATTTCAATTCCAAAATTTGAAATCCTGAATTTCAAATGACAAGAAGAGGTGCACGGATTTCAAATTAAGCTTTGTTTTGAATGTAAAGAATTTGATTCAAATCCAAATTCCAAATGCTTAAGTTTCCCAAACATGGAATTTAAGCCAAATCCGGATTTGAAATCCAAATCCATGTTCCCAAACATACCATAGAGGAATTCACTATCTGAGTTAACTTGTTAATTTGTGTAAATTTTGTTTCGAATCTTAAGGAAAACTAAACCCCACCTTTAATCAGTCTTTATGTATCAAATGGCATCTTTCAATAAATTTGAGAGTCATTTCCTCTCTAAGCTCTTACACATTCATGAGGTCCCCTCAAATTGCCATTGCTCAAGTCAATCTAGATCCTCTTCTTTCCCTTTTATGGTGTATATTTGTATGCTTACACACCTTCTAATATGTACATGCCATGTCCATTTGACTTATTTGAACGTGGCCGAATTATCTATAACAATTGTCGGTTCTCATGAAGAAAATTTTTTTTGGACTCTTGATATCGTCATAGCCCATAATGTAGCTTTATTATTAGTTGAAAAAGATTGTTTTCTTTTTGTAAATCTAAGGGAAAATTACCTTCTCTTTATGTAAAGTTAGGGATAGATTACAACAACAACGACATCCCTAGTAAAATCTCACAAGAAGTAGGGTTTGGGGAGTGTGGGTGTACATTGACGGTAGACCTTACCCCTATGCGGAAGTAGAGGGACTGTTTTCAAGAGGCTCCCAGCTCGAGCAAAGTCAACTTAAATTAAGAAAGAAGACACAGCACGTACAAAGAGGGAGCAAAAGTTATGTAGAGCTCCCTTTTGACATTGGGAGCCCATTCCATATTACGACATTGGCTCTAATTGGGGCGCCTACAGTACCCCATTCGTAAATTTGACGGTTCCTACCCCTGGTAAACCCCCCACTCAAAGCAACCACCCCGCCCACTTCAATTAGACCACCCAAGTTTAGTTGATTTTAGGGTCAACTTTTTTGACGATAGGAACCATCAATTTCACGAACGGAGCACCGTAGGTGTCCCAATCGAGCCAATGTCATATTATGACATTTAGGCCCACTATCAAAAGAAGCATACTCATTATGAAATCCCCAAAATTTAATTACTCAGTGTAAGAAATAATATTTGAAAAACTCCATGCATAATACATCTCAGAAAATAAAAAGAACACTTCTATATTTTTTTTATTGGGATGGATTTAATATATAAATCAGAGTAAAGATATGGTTTGCACGCAGTATATTGATGTTTCATCATTGAAATCAAAATTTTTTGGGACAGACGTAAGATATTCATTATGGTAAATGTATAGTTTGCACACAGTTGCTTCTATCTGTTTTCTGTCGATTTTTGGTTTTAATTAGCTATTTAGAGTTGAGCCTTGGAACTCTACGATACCTAGGGCTGGCAAACAAATGGGTCAAATCCATTACTACTAATCTTTTTAATGGATGGACTGGATGATTAATCATTGGCTAGAGAGGACATATGGTTGACAAATTGATTCATTTGCCACACAAATGTTATGCCTCACATTTTTGTTTGTGTATAGTGATGGATGATGCATTTCTAACCTTTGATATGTTCACTTTGTTTGGATTGCCACAGTGCAAAACATGTATGCAAACATTTATTTGCACAACAACAGAGGTGAAGTGCAGAGAGCACGCAGAAGCAAGGCATCCCAAGTTAGAAGCAGAGGACTGTTTTCCCCATCTCAAGTTAAAAGTAGAGAAATGAACCATTTCTGAATGGTTTTAAGGGGGGGGGGGGGATCATTTAAACAAAGCTGGTACTTGATGCTTTTCGCCCAAAAGCAAGTTCCTGTGTGTTCTTGTTTGTATTTGTAGACTGCTGAATTGGTTAGTGGGTGATGGAATTTGAACCTTGTTGCACATCCACCCAAAGAAACTTAATCTAATATAATTAAGTTGAATAGTTTTGACAACTTAGGTACGAGTTTCTATTAACAAAAAGGGTTGAACCCCAACCCCTGACGCCCGATTTGAATGAGAAGATTTTTTTTGGGACGGTGTGTGTGTGATTATCAAAAAATTAAGTTGATCCAAACAATATATTCTACGGAGTACATGAGTGGGTTATGGGTACCGTTTGGAAAGACAGAGACATTGGGTTTTAGGTTACATTTTGTTCGTCTGATCCAATTTTAATTTTTTGGAAATCTGGTCAGAGCTAATTTGGTTATAATTATATTTGAAGTGGTCTGATTTTAATGAGAATAAATAATAAACTGAAAAAATAAGTTGAGAAGAATAGACTCTTATGTAGTATGGAAAAACATTCATGCCATGTATAGCAGCTTTGATCCTAGTTTTCATCCCATATATAGAACAAATTCTTTTTTACTACTCCCTCGGTCCCTGAGTATTTGTCCACTTTTGATTTTTTTTAGTCAAAATTGGTAAACTTTGACCTAAAATTAAATAAAAATAATATTAGATATTGATACAAAAAGAATTTTATTAGATTTATTATATCAAATATTTTCAAAATCTTATTTTATTTAATTAAAATAAAATATATATTTTATTTAATTATAGGTCAAAGGTTAAAAACAGTTATCTAAAAAAGTCAAAACTAGACAAAATACTCAGAAACGGAGGTAGTAGAAATTATTCATTGCCCTACCCTTATTCTTCACAACGGGTCACCGGGTCTGTCAGACCAGTAATCACCGTCGCTGGCAACATCCAAACATTATCGTCCACCAGACACCATGTGTATGTGTTATATATTTTGATCAAGACATAATCAAATACAAGCAAACACTATCGCGGAAGCTTCCACGATAGTTCTTAGAACATTGACAATTGCCAACCAACCATCAACAACATTCGACCACTGTAGTTGGCAATTTCCAACCACCGTTGAGGGTTGACCCACCAATGTCTGTTTGGTGTTTTCACATGCACAAAAACACCAATTGATTCTTGCAGGGCAAGACTGAGGAGTTTGGGCTCAAACATGAAAACAACAACTTGTGCAATTAAAACATAAACCGTGGTGTTAAAATCATGAAAATCTTACACTAAATCGCTTGTAGTTTAAATTTCCAGGGCTCAAGCGTTCCACAAATTTCAAAAATGAGGAAAAAAAAGATGTACATCTCCAATGGTACATTTAGCTTAAGAACCAAACAAGCCAATGCAAATTGTTATAAGACAGACACAATTCTTTTTCCATCAAGACCATCCATCACAAAGACTGGTTGCATCAATCACTGCACTCTCATCCTGCTGTTCTCCGCGGCTCTCACTTGCAAGAAATACGGGTGGGCCTAATAAAAGCAAATATGTGAAATCATGTCACTCTCATGGCAAAAAATCTAACCTCAAACATAGATGCTGTTTTGGCAAAATAAAAAATTAGAGAGAAAAATCAAGGGAAAGTTGTGTCTCTGCATCCTACGCTTTACACAAACATGTGACTTTGGACCCCATGTTTTATTTTCCTAACACACATCTTAGAGCAAGGTGAAAGGTAAAATGCCAGAGGCACACAATGGGCAAGAACCGAACCAAATAAATGTTTTTTTTCCAACCCAAGAGTAAGGTCTGAAGGGCATGATCTATGAAGACCTTACCACTATTCCCATGGGCAGAAAGGTTGTTCCAAGAGGGACCCCGATCTAACTGTTGATAGATCATGGGGTACAAAGTCTAATGGATATGACATGCGGGTACAAGTTCAAGAAAATGTGATGTGTTGTCAAATATTGAGAAAAATCATGAGATGCAAAGACCAATTTTCCCATAACACACAAATCGTTAGTGAATGAGCCAGCCTACCATTGCTTCTCTGGCTGTAAGCCTATCCTGATGATCATACCGAAGCAGCTTGTCAAGAAAATCTATGGCCTGAAAGTGCAAATCAACATCACTGGACCGAAGAAAGATCTATCAACATAGAAATTCAAATCTTGGAGGATGGGAATACCTCAGGCGATACTAAATGCTGATTATCAGAATTGAAAAATCTCGACCAAGGCTTTCTGCTGTGCCT